GTAGTCAGTTGCCATGGCGATGCTTGCATAGCAAATTCCAGCCTCTTTAGCAAGAACCACCTCTGGAACTGTGGTCATGTTGATAACATCTGCTCCCCAGGTGCGGAACATGAGGCTTTCTGCCCTGGAGCTAAAGCGCGGTCCCTCGATTGTGATCACTGTCCCCTTTGAGTGGCATCGCAGTCCTAGCTTCTTAGAGGTCTCTATGAGGACCTCTCTTGTTTTGGGACAAAATGGCTCTGCCACTGGAATGTGGCACACTCCTCTGGCACAGGAATGACTTCCATCATAGAAGGTCTGAGGCCTCTTGGTGGTCCTGTCAATGAACTGATCGATGATGACAATGTCGCCGGGCTGAATCTCTTCCCTCAAGGAGCCACAAGCTGTGGTCACGATGATGTGCGATGATGTGCGAGCAGCCCTCTTCCTTCAAAGCCCAGATGTTCACCTGGTAGTTGACTTTTGAAGGCATGATGGTGTGCTGCCTCCCGTGCCTTGCGAGGAGGACGCAGTCAACATTCTTTATTTTTCCCAAAATTAAGGCATCAGAGGGCTTGCCAAACGGAGTATCCACATATTTTTCAGTTCTTCCTTCTAAAATCTCTGGATCATCCAGGCCTGTTCCGCCAATTATTCCAATCTTCGCGGGCGCGGCGGCGGCGGCCATGTCTGCGCGGGACGCGGCGGCGGGGGTGGCTTGTTTTAATTTTTGAGGCAGGGTCTCACTGAGCTGTGGCTGAACTTGCAGTCCTCTGCCTTAGCCTCCCAGGGCCTGGGATGGCAGGCCTGCGCCTCCAGGCCCAGCCCAAGTGGTGCTCTGCCTGCAGAAGTTCGTGGGGTCCTGAATGCCCTGGGATGGTCTGCCCTTCCCCCCACGCTTTGTAGCATCTCGGCACTGCACACATGCGCCTACTTTGACTCCTGGGGAGAGCAGCTCCCTTCATTTCTCCAGTTATTCCTGTTTCTTTACAGTTCCTCTCATGGTTTGTGTTCCCTTACAGACAGACACACACACAACCCTGAATCTAACAGCCTTGCTGTAAACATTGTGTCTTAAAATAACATCACAGTGCCCAGGAGGCCCATATCTTTCTTATAGGAAGGAAGGCACGCGAGGGTTCTGTCTTCAAGAATATGTTGCTCGGGCTCAGCCCAGCAGCTCCCTGAGCTCCCGTTGTGCCATTGCAGCATGCGCCTTTCGATGCCATGGTCATGGTGAACATCGCCCACTACGTGGATGAGAGGATCATAGAGACTGAAGGCAGATGGACGGTAGGTAGAGCAGATGCTTCCTGTGCTCCCAGCTTGTCACAGAGGAATTAGTAAGTCCTCCCTGTTTTCAGGGATCAGAAAAAGTGCGGGATATGCCACTTCCAGAGGAGCTCGTGTTTGCTGTGGATGAGAAGATACTAAGTGACATCAAGCAAGCTAAAGCCCAGTTTCTTCAAGAGGTAGGTGTTTCTCTTTTCTCATAGATGGTGATTGATGCTTTTTCTTTTCCCAACCATATAAAGTGGACCCTCAAGTCACAACCAGCCTCACATTGAACAACATGGGTTATGATTGGAAGTTTAGGTTTAATTTACAACCAAAGTCTTGAATGCAACCTGAATGCCAGCCACATGTGTGGTTAAAAACTGATGCCAGAAAAGCATATGTAAGCATCAGTCTGAGCCCAGATGCATGTGCTCGTGGATGTGATTTTGGTCAGTGCTTTGTATAATTGCTGTGATTACTGCCATCAGAATGCCCTGGAAGGATAGACAAGAAGCTACAAGAGGAGGGGAAGGTAAAGAAAGCAATCACAATTGAAAAGAAAAAGAAAATTATGGGGAAATGCAAGTGCATTTGTGTGACCAATCTCATTGATGTGTATAGCCTGTCAGAATCCATCATCTCAGCGATCTTACAGAGAAAAGACTTGTATAGGGAAGCTGGTTTTCCTAAAGGTGCTCCTCAAATTAGTAAGTCTTGATCAGCATTAGACGAGATAGAAGGCTATTATTAGTGTGGATGGCAGGTCTGTCTGAGTCTGTGATTTGAGAAAAAGTAGGGCTGTACATGCAAATCTTGTAAAGGACAATCCATCAGTGAGTAATCATGGTGAAACTGGTTTTTGTTCTCATTAATTTTCAACTGTGATGAAACTAGCCTTCCAGGAAGACATATATTACCCAGGAAGAGAAGAAAATGCCAGCCACAAGCCTGTGAAGGACACAACAGAGGCACAGAGGCACAATGCTGTGTGCCTCTGCGAGTAGTGGTCTCACAAGAAATCTTTTCTTGGTTTATCGCTCTGTGACCCCTGTAGTGTTCAGAAAACATGAGGATGTGAAGAATAGGTTAGGGGCCCTGTGGAGGTCTAACAGAGCCTGGGTGACAAGAGTGCTTTTTCATGAGCGGATCAAGGAGGCTTTCTGTCCTATTAAGAAATATCTAGATAACAAAAATTTACCATTCAAGGTTCTCCTTGTCATGGATAATACTCCTGGTTACCTACAAGATTTGGAAGAATTGGCTGAAGAATTCCCACACTGTCAAGTGCCTCCCACTTTATACAGCCAACTCCTCGCTTGCAGCCTGTGGACCAGTAGCTTGTAGCTAACTTTAATAAGCCATACACCAAGAACTGTTTCTGCAGTGCTTCCAGATGGTTTCAGATACAGGTTTAACTCTATGAAGAGTTCTAAATGAAACATTACAACATCCTTTCCTGTGTGGGGTGGGTTGAGAAGTCCTGGGCTAGTGTCTGTTTGGGAGCACTGAGGTCTGCCTGGGAGAAAGTGTGGCCTAAAATCATACAAGAGAGAGACTTCGAAGGCTGTGTAGTGGATCCTGAGTCTTCACTTGACCCAGTGGTTGGTGACACGATAACAGAGGCCTTAGGCTTGCCGGTAGGTGATGCTCGGGAACAGATAGAGGAACACAGAAAAGTTGTCTGTAGAGGAACTTAAGCAGCTTCTGGCTAAGCAATAAAGAATGAGCTTTCTGAAGAGGAGGGGAGTATAAGTCCAGTAAAGTTCTTCTGAAATAAAAGAAATGCTGAAGAAAATGGACAGAGCTACAAACATTTGTAGAAAAGATCCACCCAGAGAAACAGCCAATTGTTGTATTTATTTGCTTAATGACAATGTCATGTCACACTACAGAACAGTATTAGAGAGGAACGGAAACAGACCACCTTAGACTAGCTTTTAGTTCTAAAAAGGTTGAGATCCCATGAGCCAGAAGCAGGTCCTAGTGGGCTATAGACCCTCCCAAGGAGAGAAAGGACAGCAGAGAGCCTGATTTCTGATCTTCTCATGGAAGGGTACTCTCCTTCTGAACAGTAGCCACTTTCCACCTCACCCTCCCTTCCTGCAAGGCAGAGATGTTGACTTGATTGGTGAGTACAGAATGAGATTGTTGTTTCTGGTGAACTGAGCACATTTTTAACTTTTGGTGAATACATTAGGAGAGTTTGGTAAAGTACACACATTATACAACCCTTTTTTATTGTGGTAAGGTTAGTGAAGGGGTGCTTTGGGAGACTCAGGACACGGTATTGGCATTGCCATTATCTTGTATGGGGAGAGCAGTCTTGAGTCCAGCCAGCCCTTGCAAACAAATTGAGTTAGCTTTGGCTGTCCCTCAGGTGTGTCTGTGTAAAACATTTTAGGACCACAGCTTCGGAACTCTAGTTACTTGCCTGGTGATGGAGCTACTGAGGTGATGGTCCACTTTGGATCCCCTGTGGCTGACTTTCACTGTTCTGTTGCGATCTGTCTCCTGTAGGCGTCTGATCTGCAAATCGTAGCACCTGCCTTCACCTCTTTCGGCAAGAAGCTGACCAAGCAGCAGTCACTGCACCCTGACACATTCATCCAGCTCGCGCTGCAGCTGGCCTATTACAGACTCCATGGACGGTGAGGGCCGTTCCTTTCTGTGTTCAGAGTCTTAGGCCCCAGGGCGTGCATTTCCCTGAGCTGTTCGAACCTCGCGGCCCAGCATGTTCAGTCTTGTGGCTGGGCAGCAGGTCCCGTTGTGTTCTGGGACCATGTGGTGGTGCTGCAGGTCGTGAGGGCACCCTGCTCCCCTTACTGTTCGCAGCCTCCTGCATGCGTGAGACGGGTCTGCTGGCTCTGAGCAGCTGCACCATGAGAGCACATGGTTCTCCTGCACCCTGGTTTCTGATGGGCTTGTGAAAACTGGGTCGTGTGGGTGATCCAGCCTTTTCTCATTGTTGGAAGAAGACAGGCACTGTGTTGTGACTTTCTAGAGCCTGAGCGAGAGTGGGAGCCCCTTGGCCTTGCCCTTACATCCAACCTGATGTAAGTGATGACATTTGGGGTCGCTTCCACCTTTGTGAGTAGAGCTGCTGTGAGCATGCACTTACAAACACTTATTTCAGTTCTTTTGAGAAGTGAAATTGCTGCGTTGTATGATAATTTTATGTTTGGCTTTGAGGACTGCTAAGCTGCTTTCCATGTAGCTGTACCACTTTGTTTCCATCAGCTCCATACATCTGTTCCAGTTGCTCCAAGTGGCTTCCAGCACTAACACAGGATGATCACACACATGGAGAGTAGTTGAAGAAAATTTACTGCATGGAAAGGCACTTTGGCCTTAAGCCTATTCAGAATGCGTGCTCTCAACTCTGAACACACTCATCCCCTGGTTCTTGCCACTTTCTGCAGCAGTTTGGAGTCCTCTTTTGTGTCCTTACATGATGTGATAAAACATACAGTAAACGCTATTGCTGAAAGCCATCCAACAGAAAGGCGAGCTCGTAGAGACAGGCCATTGTGTCCTCACGCACTGTATTGGACCTCGGGCTGTTCCCCAAACTCAAAGTGACCATGAAAAATGAACATTTTGAACCAAATTAGGACACTGAGGACCCATGACAGTACAGCCAAAGATACTCATGAAAGCACTCCAGAGGTACAGAAAGTGGCCAGGATGATAAGGTGAGGTTGAAGGGAAGGGGGATAGTTTGAGGATTGATGGATAGCACTGTGCTTTTTATAGTAACAAATGTGTTAAAAATCTGCGTATTCATATTTGTGCATCTTTGATCCATGTGAGTTAATTTTTATATATGGCATAATGAAGAGTCTGTATTGGGACTCCAGAGAACAAAAATAAGATGCATATTGATGGGGGGGGGGGCGATTGATTGATTGACTGATTGACTGATTGGTTGATTGGAATTTGTTCTGGGAGTTGGTTCCTATGACTGTGGGAATGGAAGTCCCCATCTGCCTGCAAGCTGAGGAAAGCTGGTGAGCTCATGGGCCTGAGTCCTGATTCCTGAGGACCTGGTACAGTGGTGTGAGGGGGTGAAGAGTCAGGTGGGGAGGCTGAGAGCAGGGGAGAACACGTCTGCTCCCAGGCAGCTTCCCTCCTCTGCCCCAGGCAATGCCCAGCACAGAGGCGCATGCCAATCCAGAGCACCTGTCTTCTGGAAACACATTGTGGACATGCTCTGTATCTCCCCTCTCCTGGTCAAGCTGACTCTGACATGTGCCGACCGGCCACCTGGGGCCTAGCTCCGCTGTAGGGTGCTATAGGGTGCTTTCTTGTCCAATTTGGTCATCTGTGTACAAATCTTGCACATCTGGTGGCCATGGTGGGAAAGGGTTTTGGCTTTCACTTCTCTCCAGTTGTGTCTACCTTTGCATGAGGACTAGGCTCTCGTTATCATTGGAACTGTGCAGCCAGTTTGTGACCCGGAAGTGTCCTTTCCAAGGTTGTTTGGCTTGTCTGGGTCACTTCAGATTTCTCCAGGGCGGAGAACCAGGGGCAGCGATCGTGACATGGGGTCTGCACAGGCTGCTGTACGTGACCAGCAAAGCAGCAGACCCAGGCCCTCCCATGCTCTGGCCTGAAAATCATTCTTTTTTTTTATTTTTATTTTTTTATAATATATGTTTTTTTTTAATATTTATTTATTTTTATTTATTGTGTGTGTGTGTGGCC